GCTCCGCTCCACCGCCACGCCGCGCGGCGCGGGCCGCTGCGTGCCTGCGCTGTTTGCTGTACAGGGAGCTGGGATTCAACAGCAGCACAGCAGGATCCATCTTCTCAGGTGCTTTCTGAGAAGCCATGTTCAAGCAGTGCCCGAAGGTTGACAGCACTGCGATCTGCAGCCTCAGCCAGGTGGAAGAACGCTCTCTCCACACAAGGACACTTCTCAGGGGGAGTCAGGCCCCTGCAGTAGCCCAGATCTCCACACCAGATGGGCCAGTGAGCTCAAAACCCCCCACCTCCACCCCCACAAACACTCTGCCATGACAAACCGTCCCCAGTCCCCTCACAGCCCGCTCAGGACTACATCCCAGCCACCCAACTCCCGTGAACTCAGGCAGGGCCCTCTCCGGGAGCTGAGCAAAGGGGGAGACGCAGCCCTGCCTGGCCAGGGCCAGCATGGCTGATTTCACACACCCGTGAACGCTTCCAGCCCACTCACTTCATCTCTTGCTCATCCTCCTCTTGCTCCTTGCGCTTCTGCTCCTCCTCGTACTCCTTGTACTGCTTCAGCATGGCCTCGAAGTCCACATTTGCCTGGCGCTGGTTGAGTTCCTTCAGCTCCTGCAGGTTCTCCAGAACCTCCATCTCCAGCTTGGAGTCCTTGGTTCGGTTCTCCAGGACCTGGATGACCAAAGGGTTTATGTGAGGCAGTAGAGCCTGCCAGCAATCTCCAACACCGCCTCCCCACCCAGCACAGGGCAGAAAGCACTAAGAGGATCATCATCATCCTCCTCCTCATTTTTAGGTCTTATTAGGATGGGAAAAACTAGGGCAAGATGCAGCCTGTCCCAAGTTCCAGCACAAGAGGAAACCCCCGGCGAGCAGAGCTGGCTTCTGCTGTCCACAGCACCGCACTACCTCGGGAGCCTGGAGGACTAAGCCAACGGCTACGAAGTCACCCGCTTTGCTGGGGAAAGCCAGCCAGGGTGGGAGAGAGGTTTGCCTTCTGCAGAGAAGGGCACATTCTCATACCTTCATGGGATTGTTGAGCTCTTCCTCTTCCCTCTCCTTCTGCATTCTTTTCTCCTCTTCCTCCAACAGCTTCTCAGCTTGGAAGTTGCGAGTGGCACCATGCTCCATGGTGTAGTCTGTGTTCTCAGGATCTGTCTAAGGAAGAAACAAGAAAACAAAATCGTCGTACTGGGGTAATTCTGCCCCAGCCATGTCCAGAGCCACGTGCAAATGTTTCCCAATTTCATTCCCATCACAGTGCAGACAATCACTCATGGCCTTTTGCTCTGCTCCGGCTGATGTGCTGCAGTCCCCGGATGCGCGAGACACTTCAGAACTACAAACGGCCATGAAAAGGGAAGAGAGATCAAAAAGCACATGCTCAGACCAGGCCTTTGCTGGGACACCCCTTCCCCATGGGGTCAGCACCCAGCCACGTCCACAGAGGGCACAGCCTCTCCAGAAAGCGAGAGCGCAGAGAACACGGAACACAGTTCACCTTGAAAGTGATCTCTGCCAGGCAACGCGTGCACTTGATGTAGAAGCGGAAGATGGGAAGTCCCAGGTACACCTCATTCTGAACAGTCTCCTTACGGGCATTAAACTTCTTCCCCTTATAGATGTATTCACCACATGTCTTGCATCTAGACAAGGAGAAAGAGAAGTCTGTAACACATCCAAAAAAAAAAGGGAATAAAAAGACCAAGTGATTTCCAGGCTGTGTCAGCCCGTGTTCTGAGCAATGGTTATTTTTGCTTCCAGAAATTCAGTACCTACTCTGCAAATGATCCCCAAATCACCCACAGCATCTCTTCC